AATAAATAAATAAATAAAACAAACACCTAGGCTGGGCATGGTGGCACACGCCTTTAATCCCAGCACTTGAGAGGCAGAGGCAGGCAGATCTCTGTGAGTTCCAGGCCAGCTGGGGATACAAGGAGACCCTGTCTCAAAATGACAAAAAAACCCCACCAAGTTCCGGTGTTCCAAACCCCACAGCAGGTGGCAGCACAAGAGGAGAGTATCAGGCAGCCTCCTGCTGACTTCCCTGAGATATCTGCCCTTCTGTCCGTACAGCCAAGAGCTCAGTTCTCACTACTCAGAACAGATGCAGAGCCACGCAGCATCATTCCCTACAGCCTGAGGTCTGCTGCAGGCCAAGCTGCCCTCCAAACTGCCACAGCGCCATAGCTGCTGTAGGCCCAACCGCTTCCACCTCAGTGACCCCTGCAGGTTTCTGGATCAGCACACAGCTGAAGTGCAGCATACGGCAGTCTCAAGTGGTCCGTGTTCCTGTGTTCCTGAACTGTCCACAGACCAAGTCTGAGGAGAGCCCAGCCCTGTGTCCAGACACGTCTTTTGTTTCCGAGTCTCATTATGTAGCCCAAGCTGGCTTAAAACTCATGTCAGTCATCTGCCTCCAATTAACGTGCTGGAATTACAGGTATGAGCTGGCACTCCTGGCTCAGAAATGTACTTTACAACCCAGGGACAAGAAGCTGAGGACAGAAGTTGGCTTAAGTAGTCAAGGGGCTGCTCCTGCAGAGGACCCAGGTTCAGTGCCTAGCACCCATATGGTGCCTAACAACTCAAACTCCAGTTCCAGGGGATCTTACATCCCCTCCTGACCTCTTTGGGCATTGCACACACCTGGTGCACTTGCACACATGCAGGAAAAACTCATAAACATAAAAAATAGGCCAGCGTGACCTACATAGTGGGTTCCATGCCAGCTGGGAAGACTTTTTTTTTTTTTTTTGTCTTTTTGAGACAGGATCTCCCTGTATCCCCAGCTGACCTGGAACTCGCTATGTAGACCAGGCTGGCCTTGAACTCACAAGGATCCACCTGCCTCTGCCTCCCAAGTACTGGGATTAAAGGAGTGTGCCACCATACCAGGCGAGTTTTTTTTTTTTTTGTCTTTTTGAGACAGGGTCTCCTTGTAGCTCCAGGTGTCCTGGAACTCACTAGATCAGGCTGGCCTTGAACTCACAGAGATCCACCTGCCTCTGCCTCCTGAGTGCTGGGATTAAAGGCGTGCGCCACCACGCCTGACGTGAGTCTTAAGTTTTTAAAAGCAGTAAGACAGACCTGTACCTAGCCCTCTACCCACACAGGAAGGAAACAGCATGGTGAGAGAAGTCACCATTTTATTCAGACAGCAGATGAGTAAGCCAGCCACACTCTGCAACACACACCCTCCGCCCCCCAGTTGGGAGGCCAGGGCCCATCACCCAAACAAGTGATGTGTACACAACATAGGGCTGACAAATCCATGTCCCGTTCCATTCAGGAGTACCCAGCAGCCTTCAGCTCCCACAGCAGCCCAATGCTAGGAACTCAGGAAAAGTGGGCACAGTGGTGGTGAGCTGCTTCCTCTCCTGTTCCTGAACCCCGCCTGCCTTCAGAGTGAAGGGCGCACTTATTCCAAACTGGCGAGTTCTGTTCTGAGAGAGTGAGAACACAGAGGTTTGGTAGCAAGAGCATTCAAGTTTCAGAGTCCTCCCGTTGGCACTGTTTACAGAATGAGACATGATTATGCTAAGTCCACACCAACAGTAACACGCATCAAAACAGTCTTCCACAGCCTTGGGCTGGAGATCGTGGAGGGACTCTACCGGAACAGGCGGTATGTCCTGGGCAAGCGCCCATCTCTGCTTGACAGAGCTGCCTGGATGTGCTCATAAGTGGGGAGGTCGGTCAAATCACCCAGGGCGGCCACGGCAGGTTTCCCACGGAGCATCTTGGAAGTGACCCTCTTGACATCTTCTGGCTTCACGTTGCCTACAACGGAGAGCCAGGGGCAGTGAGGGAAAGAGCAAGGTCTCCATCTTAGGCTGCGTGCACTCCAGACCCAGGAGGACTCAGCCCTGATCTACATCATTCCCACTAGGCAAAATAAACTTGAGAAACCCTGCCACGGCCCTGGGGTAGGGTGTGAGCCGTGCGTGCTCTACCATTAGTCCTCCTTAAAGTCCCCAAGGGGTAGGGGTTGCCCCATTCAGGACCGCAGAAAGCCAGTCACCAGAGGAGCCTAGCTGCCACAGGGTAAGACTGGGAACTGAGTCCAAACTCTGGCCAGTCGCCCTCACTGGTCAGGTTGTTGGGAAGGAAGGCCAGGCTTACAGCACGACAGATAAGGGGCTCATCTGTCTGTCTGCTTTAGGGCAGTCTCAGGCACAACCCAGCTTCTACGTGGACTCACGGATGAGTGTGCAGAGCTCATGGGGCAGCTTTCTTGAATGTGTGGCCAACACCTGCCTCCCCACGTCCTCGAAAATCACAGGCCTGGACTCCAGGTTCATCATGAGCATGGACATCAGTTGTGTCTTGGCCCGCTCCAGCTCCACCTGAGGGCCAAATGCCACCAGTCACCAACACCTGGCTCAAGCTGACAGAGTGGGTAGCTGGAACATGTCTCAGCAAAAAGGCCTCCATGTGCCCAAAGATGAGTGGAGAGGTTGTCCCCAGGCCTGGCTTCCAGCCTGAGCCCCAGGCACACAGGGATGTAGAGAACTGTACTGGAGAGAGCCTTCACCACACCTGAGAGGAAGCCACATGCCCAACTCTCTGCTGACTGTTGGACTCACAGGAGGGTGGCATATGCCAGGAACCCAAAGCTGGCTGCACGGCAAAACCAGGAGAACGTCGATGAAACAAAGATCCTGGTTGCTTAGAGCCCTGTGCTCAGAACCCAGCCACTGGTCACCAAAGTCAGCAGCAGAATCAATAGCTGTGTGTACAGAGACGCTGCTCAGGTGTAGACTGAAATCTGGAACTCCAAAGAATCAGGACAAGGGGCTAGATGAAGCTGGGTATATAGGTACCTACCTGGAAGGCTAGCACGCAGGAGGCAGAGACGGGAGAACTGGAAGTTCAAGACCAGCCTGTGCTATATAATGTGGGTTTTTTTGTTTGTTTTTTTTTGTCTTTTTTTGAGACAGGGTCTCCCTGTAGCCTCACGGGCCTCGAACTATGTAGATGAGGTTGGCCTTGAACTCTGGGAGAGTGGCCTGGCCTGCCTCTGCTGGGATCCAAGGCCACCACCACACCTGGCCATGTGGTAAGATTTTTATCTCAACACAAGTTGTTTTTCACTTGTACAATTTCAGGCAAATACTTAATACTGTAAATTTATCTCCAATGACCTTGACATTCATAGAAAGCACTTTTTTTCTATCAAGGTATTAGCAGAAACGCAGAGCAGAGAATTTTAATCCTTGGTGGGGCTGCAACTCAGGGCCTAGGCAAGTTCTCTACCTTCAGGCTCTGGTTTGTTTTAGATAAAGTCTGGCTTATGCTGGCCTTGAACTCATGACCCTCCTTGCCTCCACCTCCTGAGTTGGGGAATCACAGGCTTGCATCACCACGCCCTGCAGAGGCATTCATTTGTAAACACATACTTTTAAAAAAATGTTTCTTCATGTGATCACTGAGGAAAACTGGCACTAGTAGAAAGCCAGGAACGCAAAGCACAAGCCCGCAGTGCTCAGGCCAGCCACGTGCGTCCTCGTGCTGTATGTACCTGCCTGCACTTCCACATATGTGGCTTCTGAGTTCTGACCAAGGAAGTAGCAAAGCTTCCAAACACTAAGACAGCCAAAACTAGGCTTTATAAGGTGACAAAAACTTGGGTTCCAACAAAAAAGAGCCAGAAAACGCCTAGAAAGAGTCCTGCGTTGCTGTTCATCCATACAATGTGGCTTTAGCTCATGACCATTCTATAGAAACCATTCTGAAGGGGAGACTGTCCTTAGGAAAGGACAGGGAGGCCCCAAGGTACAGTTCAGCCCAAGCCTGTGCCTCCCCTGTCTGCATTACTCTCTGGCTCCAAAACTTAACTTACCGCATCCACAGTCCCGCCCATCAAGATAAACTCCTTGGTGATGATTTCAACCATTTCTCGAACCTACAAAGAATGGGAAAAGAGGGTAGGAGCTGCTAGCTGGGGCCTGCACCCTTCAAGCAAACCACTGCCACCCCATCAGGGTATCACTGAACTGGAGTGATACCCATGGGTATCACCCCCCATGCGCGGGGGTGGGAGGGGACAGCTATATAGACGGGTGCCACCCTCACCTGTCTTGGGTCAGCACTGGCATGAATGCACAGGAGGCCTGTGTCTTCGTAGCTGTGGTGGTAGGAGGTTGCATTATACATCCAGTGGTGCCTGTGAGGATGACGCCAAGATCAGGGTTTAGGAGACTGGAGAAAGGAAAGTGGGAACACATCCAAGCACTCAGTAGCCTGGGAACAGCCACAGCAAGCCAGCACACACCGGTTGAGCACGTTGAGGTAGAGCCTGGAGAACATGCCCTTGCCGGGCCCACCAGCTGAGAAGGAGCCACCTCCTCCCATCATCATATTCAGCACAGCAAATGGAATGAAGTCCTCCTCCTGAGGGACACAGAGGCACAGCCCATCAGCCCACAGCAGCCTGGCCCCGCTGGTGCACCTGACCCGTGCCTACACTCACCAGGAAGGAACAGCTTTCTAGTCCCACCATGATGTGTGTGAGCTCAGGAATTGGGGTCGGGCCCAGGCTAACGTTGGACATGTCTCTCTCCACCTGCAACCAACCAGACATGCGTTATAGGTGTGGCAAATTCCCAATAAGAGAAGAGACACCCCTCCAGACATTCAGCAACCTCAATCCTGTCAATTCTCTCCCTCAAATAAGGGATATGCTTGAAGAGCTGGACTGTACAGTAAGAAACACAACGCACCCAAGTACACGTCCAAAGGATTCACGGCACACGTCATGAGAGCTTTCCTGCCACATTACCTTGACAAGCCCCCCAGTATACTGTGCCACTGATCTGTCAATGTCCACAGCCCCAGCAGCCCCCCAGGCAGGCTGGGCTCCCAGGAGGTACTTTCTGGCACATTCCACCAGGTGTTCATGCTCCACACCCACTCCGGCCAGCACCATGCGGTTAGGGGTGTAGTAGTTCCTCAGATAGGAGTGGAGCACCTCTCGGTCGATCGCCCCTATGTTTTCTGCAGGGCAGAATCGGTGCAGCCCCACTGTGTTCTCCCTAAAAGCAGCCTGTAGAGGGAGAGGGATAAACGTGAGCGAGGAAGAAAATACTGGGGGGTTCCCTGAAGTGGGGTTCCCCAGTGGGGATCAGCAGGGCCTCCAGCCACTCTATGGAGAAAAGGCCAGGTGTTTATCTATGGGCTGGCTCTGTGTGTTCTTGCAGTAAATCCTACCTCAGAGTGAGAACTCGAAAAACATGCAAAGGAGCACACAGATGCACCGGTAAAGACGGTGCTACCACATGAAGTGGACACCGTCAATGCTGCATACATGGCAAGTTCAGATGACAGCTGGGGCTGGAGAGATGGCTCAGTGGTTAGAACACTAGAGCTCTTGCAGAAGACTTGGGCTCAGATCCCAGCACCCACAAGGTGGCTCACAACTGTCTGTTAACTCCAGTTCCTGGAGAATCCAATGCCCTCTTCTGGCCCCCATGGGCACTGCATGACACAGGTTTACTTACATGGGGGCAACGCACGGTTAAAAAAAAAAAAAAAAAAGACCACAGCTGGAGGGGTGCACACCTCCTTGGCGCTCAGGGAAGCTGAGGCAGGAGAATTTTGAGTTCAAGGCCAGCTCACACTGCACAGCAACTGTCTCAAAAACAACCGCAGCACTGAGCCTGTTGTGCCAACACCCACCACCTGCAAGGCCTGCAGCCCACCCATGTGAGGAGGCGGGGCTCATTTTACTTCATGAATCATCTCCGTGAGCAGTGGCTCTGGGTCAGGGCGCATGTTCAGGTCCTCAAGTTCAAAGTGGACAGCCATCCTTGTCATCTCGATTTCCTCATCTGCAAGAACCCACACAAGAGTTTTGTCTGCACCAGCAGGGAAGGCACAACTAGTGCTGAGTGGCTGGGCCTGGCTGTGAGGCAGGCCCTGTGGTCACCTTCTAGGGGCAGACCTGGGGCACCTGTGTGTGTAAGGGAGGGTGCCAGATGAGCAGGAATTAGGGACTCGGGCCCTCATCCTGTGCCACCCCCTTGGACTTGCTCCAAGCTTCAGTTGCAGTCTGTCCCCAAACACTCCTGAGAGGACAAAGGGGATGAGATGGCTCTTAGTAAACAGGTGTCCGGGTATCGTTCCTTAGATCTTGACACAGGGCCAGACCAGTGGGAAACGAACCACAGGGCAGCCAGTGGAAGCCAGTACCCTTCCCTCCCTGAGCCTCTTAACAAGAATCCATAAATCCTGCCATTAGCAAGGCCAGAGGATTTTGGAGACCATGGAAAGGAAATGTCTGTAGGCATGAGCTGTTTACAGCCAAGATCTGAAAGGAATTCACTAAAAACCTCAAAGGTGTTTTCTAGAGAGACAAGCTATAGTACTAAGTACTGTGTCTAATGCTAAGGGCTTTACTCAGCACCAACACTACCTCCAACGACACCACACTGTCACAGTCACGTGAGCCCCCAATTCTAACAGTGCTCTCCTCAAAGCTACAGCCCTTCCAAAGCGCCTCCCAAACCACCCCAGCCACAGAGCCACACCTGTCAGGCGGGGATGCAGAACCACATCAGCCAGTAAGTCAACCACAGTGTCCAAGCCTTTGCTGTCAGCAGACACAGCATACATGGTAGTGTCTCTGGAAGGAAAATAAGCCAGTGCCAGGTGCTGAGTTTCCACCAGAAGACAACTTGGAGGCCAGGCTCTGAGTGCCGGCAAAGCCGCTCCACCACCTTCCCTGTCTGTCCCTCTTCCTGGGATGTAAACTCCTGGCAGGGACCACAGCTTCCCACAGGTGCAGTGTTTGCTAAGACCCCATGGAATCAAGAGAGAGCCAGTATACTAGGTTTCCATGAACATGGCTCTCTGCAAACGGGAAGCCTCCAAGCCTGGCAGAACAGCCAAAATGAAGTCAGGCTCCATGTGGAGATGAGCTCAGCCCCAGACAGCTCTCAGGGGCTGCTTGCTGTCTAGCTGAGCATTCCAGGTGAAAACGTGCAGGTCAGGGAAGGCCGAAGAATGGCACGCTTTCTGACCCTGATTCTCCACCCAACTCTCCACCAAACCTGCCACTGATCTTTACAGCCTCTCTGATGCCAGGGGCTTCAAGGGACTTTGGCCACGGAAGAGGAAGGCAATTCCACAAAGACAAAATACCTTGAGGTCTGGCAGTCACAGATACCCCCGTGCTTTTCCAATGTAAGCAAAATTTCATCTTTGCTGTCAAATCGAGCAGTGGACTACAAAAACAAGAACACTCAAGTGAACAATCCTCCACACCCAAGAAACGCAATTAAGAAATCCACAAAAACCACAACTGGACACTAACCGAAAATGCCAACTTTTCCAAAAAATGAGCAATCCCACTGAGGTATTTTGCTTCATATCTTGATCCTGAATTAATAAGAACTGGTAATGGGAATAAAATTGACAGGGTTAGTCCGATATTCAAAACAGATCTAATCAAAAGAAAGCTTCCAAAACCATGGTTGGCCCAGTCAATCATTGTCACATAGGGCATGGACACATTCACAGTCCAACTGTGATGGTCTCACAGGCGAACACAAAGCAACACGTATGGAGGTCTATGCTGGTCACCAAAAAAGTCCAGAAACACAGGAGGGTAAAATGGAGGAGGGGTGTTTACCACCCTACATGCCACCACTACATTTTGGCTAAGTTTTCAAGCTTAACAAGCTTCTGCAGGCAGGTCTTGATGGACATGCTAATTACAGCTATTCAAACAGGGCACCCATGCTCCACATGCCAGCAGTACTTACTTCCCACGGTACAGAACTGCCCAAATTTGTTTTGAGATGCCACACGAAGCCCATTGTCCAGGGTGGTCACTTTGGTTTCAAACTTCTCCTGGCCATCAACTGTAGCAAAAACAGGCTTGGGCACTCCAGGTAAGGGAGAAGAGAGGGGGATGTTGGGGTATGCCGCTCCACTGCTGAACTGCCTGTGTGTAGCGAGTCGGAACCTAAAGCAGAGAAACCAGTAAGTCACCACACCTGGGGACCAACTCAAGAGCGCTAAACGATGTGTGTTCAGAGGGTTTACTTCCACAGGCCTCGAGTGAACATACAGGAGTGATGGAGATCCTGGTGGGGCCACCAGAACTCAGGCAAGGCGCTTCAGGTCACCCGGGGGGAACAGGCTGTGTGCAAGAAACTAGATTCCCCCCTTCACGTCGGCTCCCGCAGGTCTTCACGTCCACCCTGCCCCAGCTCCTCACTCTTCACGTCCACCCTGCCCCAGCTCCTCACTCTTCACGTCCACCCTACCCTGCCCCAGCTCCTCACTCTTCACGTCCACCCTACCCTGCCCCAGCTCCTCACTCTTCACGTCCACCCTACCCTGCCCCAGCTCCTCACTCTTCACGTCCACCCTACCCTGCCCCAGCTCCTCACTCTTCACGTCCACCCTACCCTGCCCCAGCTCCTCACTCTTCACGTCCACCCTACCCTGCCCCAGCTCCTCACTCTTCTCTTCACGTCCACCCTGCCCCAGCTCCTCACTCTTCACGTCCACCCTACCCTGCCCCAGCTCCTCACTCTTCACGTCCACCCTGCCCCAGCTCCTCACTCTCTACACCCAGTCCTGGCCTGCAGAGCCCCGGTTGGTTCAACCAGAACCAACCTGGCCTCCCCCTCCCCCTCGCCCCAATTAGGACCCCGAAGCTCCCGAGCGCTCCTCGGCCCGATTTCCGGTTACTTCCAAACCCTCGGGCTGCCGGGCCGGCTCTCTTCCCCCGGGGTCCCCCTCTCCCCGGGGTCTTCCCTTCCACCCGGGGTTCCTCCCTTCCCCCGGGGTCTCCTCTCAACACCCTGCCTCGGCTCACCTGGGCCGCGCACTCCGCGCCCCAGAGCCCTGCAGGAGCCGCGCGGCCACCCACACCACTGTCGCCATCGCGCCGCCGCGCTTCTGAGGTCACTTCCGCTTCCGCCCCCGGCCCCGCCCCGGCCCGCGGCGTTCTGCCCTGGCTTCCGGCCCGCTGCGCTGGAGCTGGGAGAGGCCGGCAGGCTATGGGGCCGCGGCGGGGCTAGGCGCGGCGATGTCCGGCTACGCGCGCCGGCCCGGGCCGCCGCTATCACGGACGCGGAACCTGGTGATCCCGGACGGTGAGCGCCGAGCGCCGGGCTGGGGCGGAGCCGGGACGCAGGGTTGAGGGGTGGGGGGCGCGCGGCGGCCGGCAGTGAAGCCGCTGTCGTTGTCGCTTTCAGCTCCTGCGTTCTATGAGCGCCGGTCTTGTCTCCCCCAGCTCGAGTGCGAGCGTCCCCGTGGCGGGGACCTGCACCCCCACCTGCTCGGCTTCCGGCCGACCTTTACGCGCTATGTGCCCAGCCCGGTGCTGGCGTCGGTGGGCGACACAGGTGAGCGTCGGGGCGCGGCCCGAGCGGGGCCGACAGGCCGGGCAGCAGGGCCGGGTCCGAAGGGCCCGCCGATCTCCGAGACCCCGGGAGACAGACCTCCTCGGCCTGGCGGCGGGCAGGGGCAGGGCCCGGGCCCGGACCCCCGTGGTCTGCGTTGCACCGACAGCACCTCTGGGAGCGCGGGGGGATGTGTAATACTCCGCCCGGTCTTGGAAGACAGTCCCTGAGTAGGGTATAGTCCCCAGCCACTGGGGAGTCAGGTCGTGACCTGCAAGGTTGGGAGCCTGGGACCTGTCCCTTAAGCTCCCTGGACAGCGCGGGATCGCTGCGGTCTCCACCTCGCCGGGCAGGTCTAAAGTGTGCTGGGACCACTGTGGGTTGACGATGTCTCTTTGCAGATTTTGGCTATGGAAAGGGGAAATGTATTAAGCAAGGTCCATCAGGAGCCCAGGAGACACGTTTTGGAGGTAGAGTAGTTGAGCCATTCTTTCCCTCTCCATCCGACACAGTGCCAGGCAGTGGTCTGGCTGTGGGGCTGTCAAGTAGACAGGATTTAAAGGGTATGCCTGGAGCCCAAAAGAACAGGGTTAGAAGCCCGGGGTTGTATCTTGACCCTAGAGGAGATGGGGTTCGAGGGCAAGGAGAACCTGCTGTCAGGGACTACCATCCAGGAGGCCTGTGGAGTAAGCAAGGGCACAGGTCACAGGTGCTGACACCTGGGAGAGACCCAGATAAACAGTAGGAGTGTGATAGGTGTGGAGACAGTAGAGGTCAGTCAGCCAGGTTAAAAAGTCAGAGGAGGGCTGGAGCGATGGCTCAGCCCCTAGGAACACTGGCAGCTCTTGCAGAGGACCTAGGTTCATTCTCAGCACCCACATGGCAGCTATGAACCGTCCTTAACTTCAGTTCCAGGGGAATCCGAAGCCCTCTTCTGACCTCTGCGGCATTGCCTGACACCGGTGCTCTCAGATACATGCAGACAATACACTCGTACACATAAAATAAAAATAATAAATAATTTTTTTTTTTAAAAAGTCAAAGGAAAGAGTGAGCTGGAGCATTTCTGAACTCAGCAGCATACAAGGAACCTTGAGGCCCCTGCAGTATTGGCCCCCAACCCATACTGAGTGTGTGGAGTAGAGGCAGCCTAAGCCATCCAGAAGATTCTCTGGGAAGCCTGAGCATGTAACTCAGTGATAGAGCACTTGCTTAAATGTATGAGGGGCCCTGGACTTGATCTTTGGCAGGTCATTTTGAAGAAGAAATCTGCGAGGGGGTGGTTACCATGGGAGCTGGGGGTGATGGTGAAGCAGGTCTGTTCCCTGCCCTCTGGGGCAGCTTTCTTGTTTCATGGTGTTCTTTGAGTCTCAGTGAAATGTGAGGACACTCCCAAAAGGGGGTTAGGTCCTTAACAGTCCTTGTGATGTCCATTGCTTCAGGTGATAAACATGAAGACCTTCAAGAGTCCAATCCATTCTCCTTCAAAGAGTTTCTGAAAACCAAGAACCTCAGCTTGGCCAAAGAGGACATGACCAACAGTCGAATTTACCCAAAGGTATACTGGAGAAGTTGTCTGTGGTTACTTTAGAGGTTCTCTCTTCTACTTACAATTTTGGAGACGTGGAATATGGGGGGGGGTGATGGGACAGCTGTGACCACTGATGGAGAAGCTCTGGATGGAGCAGCTGCCTGGCTCCTCTTGGTAGATAAGATGAGCTTTTCTTTGCATTGCAGACTGAATGTAGAGAATTCCTAGCAGTGGTTCCAGGCCACAGCATTTGTCTCCACTGCTTTTAGGAAGCCTCAAGGCACCCACTGGGACTGGACCCCAACTCCCCCACCTCCCCACTGGTGGGGTATGGCTTGGAATATCAGCAGCCATTTTTTGAAGACCCCACAGTGGCCAGCAACTTGAAGGAGGAGGAGGAGGAGGAGGATGGGTGGAATGGAGCCTACCTGCCATCTGCAGTGGAGCAGACTCAGTCGTCGAGAGCCACGGACAACACATTGCCCTGTGGCACATACCTTTCTTTTTTCTCCAATGCATCGGAGCTGGCAGGGCCCGAGTCTTTGCCCTCATGGATGCTGAGTGACACTGACTCTCAGGTCTCCCCGACATCTCCAGCTGGAAGTCTTACTACAGACTTTTTGGCTCATGGAGAGACCCTGGGAGACAGACACCTTCGAACCCTGCAGATAAGTTATGAAGCAGTAAGTGAGGGCTGTGGGGTGCCTGCCACAGGGCTGAGCAATGTCCTAGGGAAAGGCGGAGTCATTCACTTCCTAAGTGGCCTGGGCTTGGTGCAAGGACAAGACAGTCATGTAACGTCTGGCTGTAGGATTTCCCTGTGTAGAGGGGCCAAGAGATATAGCTCAGTAGTAGAATGTTTGCCTAGCATGTCGGAGCCCTGAGCTAGACACCACCCCCCCAGCACTTCTTGAAAAGGAAGAAAGAAAATATAATTTCTCGGGGCTGGAGAGTTGGTTCAGTGGTTAAGAGCACTGATTGCTCTTGCAGAGGACCTGGGTTCGATTCCCAGCACCCACATGGTGGCTAACAACCATCAGTAACTCCAGCTTTGGGGGGGATCTGATGCCCTCTTCTGACCTCCCTGGGCATTGCATGACACGAGTGCACCTACCTACATGCAGCCAATACACTCATACACATAAGTGAATTAAAAAATAATAAATAAAAAATTTAAAAAAAGAAAATACAATTTCTCTGTGGAAAGCACTCCCCTGGGGTTGGTTTTGGACAAGTAGTAAATGTAACAGTCTGCGAAGTACGGGGACATGCTCAGGGTTAGGAGGCATGGGCCAGAAAGAACAAGAAGCCACTGGAACTGTTGGCTCAGGGACATCTTGCTAAATGACGTAAACAGAAGTTTTTAAACTTGCAGTCACCTAGAAATGTTTCAGGCAACAAGCAGAGTTGGAGACGGTGGCCACAGGACAGCTCTAAGCATAACATAGGTTGGTTCCACTGACCTGAGATGTGTGGTTTTTGTCTTTTTGAGACAGGGTCTCCCTGTAGCCCCAGCTGGCCTGGAACTCACTGTGTAGACCAAGCTGGCCTTGAACTCACAGAGGTTTGCCAGGCTCTGCCTCCCTGGGAGTGTTGGGATTAAAGGCATATGCTACCACGCCCAGCCTGACCTGGGATGTTTTAAGTCCCAGAGCTGGGCATGGAGATGCCTGCCTGCCAACCCAGCACTTGGAAGGTGACAGCAAGAGGATCAGATGTTCGTCGTCATCCACACACATTATCAAATTGGAGGCCAATTTAGGCTACATAAGATCTTGTCTTTAAAAAAGTAGATTGTGGCTGGGCATGGTGGTGCATGCCTTTAGTCCCAGCACTTGGGAGGCAGAGGCAGGCGGATCTCTGAGTTCAAGGCCAGCCTGGTCTACATAGT